CCCCCCCCCACCCCCCGATACCCCTTGCCCAGAAACACTGAATTTTTCGAGAGCTACACTGGCCATCATCTTCCGCGCTATCTTTGTAAGTCGTAATCCAATAGCTCCGTGTTCTGTTTACCGTTCAAAAGTCTGAAGAAGACAAAACAAACAGTCGTTACAAACCTAATAGCCGCAGGACACGAGGTAGTCGCCAAGCTTTTCGACGACAGAGGCAGCCTGCTGTGGTTGGATGGGATCCTCGTAGAGGGATACGACAACTGCCTGCGTCGTTTTCATGCAGTGGACGCCAACTTTTCCAAGCTTCGCCCTGATCACACGATCTGTGCCCGACAGGTATATATACCTGTTACCGGCCAAGGTCACACCCGACGACGTCAGAATGTCCTGCTTCTCGAAACCCTGCACCAGCTTCGCCAGTTCCTCTTTACTCACCTGAAATAAATGAATGCTCCGTTTGGTCACCGTCATTAACTCATGCATTTCGTGCGCCGTCGGCAAAACAACTCGAATCGACCTCGACCATAAGTTATTGGGTATATTTTTCTTCGTTTAAGAAATACCGAAATACTTATAGGGCCACTCGTGTATTCTTACCAATCTAATATGCTGTAATACGTGTGTCGGAAACATATGCGATATACCACGTCATTTATATGTGTATACTATAAGCGATATCAAACATATGAAGTCTTGAACCAAAAGAAAGCCAGAAACTCTCTCCTTCCGTACTGAACCTTGTATACAGTGCTTTATGTACCGTGTTACATAGAGCCACAGCGATAGACACGATGAATCCTCTCGGAGACGATTACCTTGTGCCAAGGTGACCTCCTTTCTACTTCGTTCATTTTTGCCCCGTTATTCAAGGCCATGAAATAGTAGAACGTATGTGCGAGATAACGAGTTCAGCACCCCCCTCCGCCGAGCCATATGGATTAACGTAAAAATTCATTAATATGTCTACGTAACTCCTAATGATAAGGAAGAAAATAAAAAAAGGCCATTCTGAGTTACTTGACTGGCCGACGATGAGTCATCGGTAGGGAATGATATGACGTGTTTCATAATTTTTTTTTTTTTTCATATTTCTGTGCCAATAAACTGTTAAGGAGAAGCGCGAATGCATATTACCAAGAAAACATAAATATAAGCACGTATAGTGAGGCGATTAAGTATCATTTGGTGTTCGTTCGATGCTATTTGAGCTCGATGAATCCTCGACCTTGCTTCGCTACCTTATCTGCCCTGTATTATTGACGAGTCGCGGCTGTATATACATTTTTTCTTTATACCTTGGATTTTGTTCAGATAAAATGCGGTCGCGTCATACGCGATACCACCTTCGCTGCTCGCAGGTGGAATAGCAACAACAATAATAGATACTGTCGCTCGTGTTTCAATTTGCATTAGCAAAATGTGCAGAAATGAACGGTGGTGAAATTTTGCAAGAATGATAGAGACAGGCGGAGCTAGTGAAACTCTCATTGAACGGAAGAAACTAGTGGAACGCGAAAATAAATAAAAAGAAACGAATCGCTACGTGGTCGTTGATTCGTTGATCCTCTTGTTGTGCGTCGTGGCAGATTATCAAGAGATTTGACACTCGGATTTATATTTATTTACAGGAAACGTCCCAAATATATACTTCAAGATCTTGCTTCTGAATATATGAATAGTAAGTAACTGCATAGTAGTAACTGCATATTATGTTACAGAATTTCGTAAAAATAATTTTTTAGAAATAGATAAGAACAATTTTTCTGTTCGAACTTTAGCTCCTGCGCATATATTTATTTTTAGGCCGATTATGTGCAAGTACATTGAGCCGGTACCGTTAAGTAAATCTTGACCGAAGAAATCCTCTGAATTGTCACTGAAAACGATTGGTTGACACTTAATGACAAGATTTCACGTGAAAGATCTGGCCAAAAAAGGAATGAGCTGAGTCATCGTGAAATTCTATGAAAACATCTAAAATCGTGTTTCATCAGCAGTGACGCATCTTAGCGACATAGAGTGGCCGATACGATGCATTTGCAATGAACATAGAAAGCAGGGCGAGGGTGCTGATGAGGAAACGAAAAGAGAAACGTAGAGAGGGGTATACACACAACACACACACATACACACAGAGAAAAAGAGAGCGAGAGAGAGAGAGAGAGAAAGAGAGGGAATAAAGTCTGACTCATTTTATGCACCAGCGGAGGGTACGGGTGAACTGAGCTCTATGCACGTCATTGGAATTGTATGAATCACACTAGCAGTCCTCTGATATGCCTACCCGTCTTCGTACACTGACAGTAAAAATGGCGAAACCTGCCTCTAAAGAGTCCCTCTTGCCGTACTGCACTGTGTTGAAGATTCTAGAAGTCATTTTAAAATTTGAAAAACCTACAAACAAATCTTATACATCATTTAATCTCTGAAGAATGTTCGAATAGAAGAAGAAACAAGAAAATTGTTTTCAATAAAATTATAATGCAATTAACACTAATGACAAGCGTGTATTGATATAACCGACTTCATACGGCACTGCAAGGTTGCTGCCCGGCCGGCAGTCGCCATTTTGGCATCCAGACCGGAAAGTGCACTCGCGAACTCTCGGCCATGCCTTTCACAAGATTCATTCTCGATTCGAATCAAAAACATTTCACTCATTAGATTTTCACTAGGACGACATTTCTCTTGTCACAAATATTCTAAGATTCTTTGTGCTCGGTTATGTTTCTTCTTGTGTATCAGTGCTTCGGAATACTGTCGTAAATTATCAAAGGTCTTCTCGAAATACCTCCGAAAGGAATTCTTATGAAAAAGCCTATAAATAATTGTTTTCTCGAGTGCAATTGAACAAAAGAAAAGAAAACTGTTTAAAAAATGATTTTATTTACTATTCAGAATAACTTGTAAATTTTGTTTGGACAAGTTGTGTCGTTTCTCTAGAATATCCTTTTCAAAGGATCTCGTGTCTTACCACGAGGTATCGAGCGACATTTTGGAATCGATATTCTCTCACTCTCCAGTCCAGTTGGCGATGTTGCCGGTTCGCGAGAGAGCAGCACAGCGACGTGGAATTTCTCAAGAGCTCCTGTCTCCTCCTAGCATCTGTATACCGACATACCCACTCTTGCAAAGTATTCAGGAATAAAAGTTACATTCGACGAAATGAATTTTTAAAAATCTCAACTCGTCGAATATTGAGTTCCACCATTAGAAATATCAATTCATTTTTTGCAGACCACGTCATTCCTTCTTGGAACGTACGCTAAATGTTCACTCGCGGTTGGCAACACTGAACAGCTATCTCCACACCGGCTAATATGTTCAAATTCCGAATAAGTACATTTCTCCCAAAATTTGAACCTTGCCATCTAAAAGGTTCATACTTTTAATTTAACACTGGCTAAATTGAAAACTTTATAACTTACTGTTAAGATATAAGAAAACGTCTTTTAGTTAAGCAAAATTTCATTCTTAATTAGAATAAACAACATCATTTATTTAATATATTGATCATCGCACAAAAATGGAAGGGGAATTTACACTTAAATACAATTTTAAAAGTATTAAAAGAATTCAGCACAAAAAAAAAAGAAATCTTTTACTTTTAGATTCATATGGGCACAGAATGAGAAAAATTTTTGAGAATAACTGGAAATATATACAATAGCTCCTGTCAGTATCCAGGTATTAAGCCACAGTACTATTTAAAACTAAAACAAACTAATTTGTAAAGACTATTGAAACGAAACAGTACTACAAAAACAGTAAGCACTTCTTAACAAAGCAAAGAACTTGTTACGTCCATACCTAAGTTCATCTGAAGCTGAAATGATAACTGGCTGATAAAATTCCCTAGTTAAAAAAGTGATAAATTCACGTGAAAATAAATCCATAGTATTTCGCACTCCGAATAAGAAATAAATATTTCCACGCAGTGAAGCAAGCCAACGAGAAAGACCTAAAAGGAGAATCCGTGGCCTCCACAATGGCCCCCGGACATATTTCCCAGATCGATAATCCCCGAGAACCCCTCCAGGGGCCCCTTTAGTACCGACTAGCATCTACCACGGCCCTGCCATTGGACAGAGAACTAGCTTTAAGAAAAGAAAAAAACTAGAAAAGTCCCACATATATCCGGAGCAGTTTCTCACTAGAAAAAACCTGCGGTACAAAGGGAAGCTCGAAGATCGCCCATTAAGGTCTGCGTACAATTCACGATACAAAGAAGTATCTACGTGGCACGGTTAGATTTTTAAACCTCTATGTGTCTAAACAATACCAACATAATTCTAATCAAGAGACTCGGCCGAACCTCGCGTTAAGTTAATAACATTTAGGAGCAGCATTATCAAAACGAAGTAAGACAGAGGCTAAAACCGTTGCTAAAATTCTTTCTAGTATATGCAGCTAAGATAAATTCGAATATATGGAAATCACTCCCTAGATAGTTTATAACTTATTGCACAGTTCAAGGCGTAGTCCAAAATGGATTTCCAAAATGGTTATTTTTAAATATATTAAATCCTAATGAACGTGCCTAGTCGTGTTCCTCAGTCTCTGAAGGTATACGCCTCTCAGTTCGAACCGTAAATGCCCTTCCCCTTGAGTCTCTCGCTCGATTATAATCGTCATCATCGTGGATCATTTACTCACTTCGAAGCCCTCGGATTTCGCCCAGAGGTTCCCGTCGTGGCCGGCGATCGCCGCTTTGGTAACACACCTCGACGCGAGGAGCTGCTTGTCAACGTAATCCTGCCAGCTCATTTTTGAACACAGACGAATTACAATGAGGATGTATGAATTATAACCGAACTTCTTTTGCGCGCTTCTTACGCCACCAACCAGACACAACCCGTCACCGACTGCTTCGGTTCACGACTACCAACGACTGCCAAATCGCGTTGCACGCCGGTCACCCCTCGCAGCCCCCTTACATCGCCTCCTACGAACTCAACCCCACCACTGACATTTAGATAGAGCATCGACAGAGCTGCCAACGTTCGAGTGAAAAAATCAGGGGCGTAGCATGACAAATTTTAAATAGGTGCTCTGCGTTCAACCAAAGGTTCATGAAAATATTTCCTTAACGGTTACTTTAGTTAGATATCATTATATCGTTAATATTTTAATGATGACCAGCCGTCATTTAAACGAATAAATTCTTGTTTTCTGACATTCAGCTATTTGGTATTTTCATTTAGTAAATGTTTTATTGTTGATAGTAAGTTTCTAGAATGTTTATGGAGAATAACTCTCATGAACGTAGTTATGGTAGAAATGCATCCTTTGCGCGACTATCTTAAATAAAAAAAGTATATTTTTCTCAATTCCATATATTTATGTATAATTCTGTATATTCTTTGTCAGGAAGAAAAAAATATTCATTCTACTTTAAAAAATTGTAGTACATCATTAAGAATTTAATAAGATTTGACATTGACTAATCGTAAATTGGCAAATGTCAGTATGGCAGTTGGCAGCATTGAGTCTGACTCACACACCAGTGAAGCGTGCGCGAACACAATCGAACACGCCCTTGTTCGGAGTTGTTGCCAACCGGTAATTCTGGTTCTTTGGAAAGCCTTAATAAAAAGCGAGGACCTTTCGGGAAAAATAGCGTGATGTGAAACGCACTTTGGAAAAATGGATCATCTGTAAAAAATTCTTTTGTCTTTCATGCTCCGATGATGTTCTGGATATAAATGCATATCTTTTAGGTTGGTAGTTCTTGTTTCGAGAAAATATCGTGTATTACTCCGCCATATCATATGTAATACAAAAGTCTCGTATATCAGCGGCGTAGCTACCATTTACCTGACCAAAAAATGCATTGGAGTATGTATAAAAATACTACTAAAAAGCATCTCCTAGTATATGAATAAATATTGGATATTTCATCACAAATTAGTTAGTATTTATTTGTTTCTAAACATCGAAGATTATTATTAACACCGTTGAATTGTTTGGCACACAACACGTGTTCTAACTACGCCCCTGGCGCCGGCTGTTCATCACGGACATGAATGAAAAAAATCGTTTATTTAAATATTCATCATATCATACATATATTCCTCTACAGAAAATATAGAAAATCTGTCATCCGATTTCTCTACAGACGTTTATTATCCTGGTTGGAGCAATTATTATTATCTCCTTGGTACTATATTGTGTCGCGTAGGAATTCCTGCTGCGGATCAGGTTATGATTCCTGTAATGCATTCCAGATGGCGCCATAAGTTTCCACGTTATATATTTGAAGTGTTACTAACTATTGATAATCTTATCTGTAGGTACATATAAACGGTAAGGAATCATTCACCATTCAAATTATTCTCACAAATTGATTACAATAATTTTTCGCAAATGTATGTGTTCAATGTTGTACGAATTTCTTAATTGTCAATTTATAAATACAGCTATCATTTCATGCAACGGAAATAGAATGAATCTGCTCTAGTAATCATATGTATCTTATTTGTAATTCTTAAAACCTCGAGCCAATCGTTTCAACACATTACGATAATATAAAAGCGGTAGTATACATATATTTGTACAAAGTGGAAATATAAACATGATTCAATTACGAAACCTTCATAGCTTTTTCGGGTGAGTCGTAAGACAAAAAAGTTAGATAATTGATTGATTAAACTGTCAAATCGCACAATTTGACCAATGCAAAGTCTTATTTTCTGCATTTCCCGACTAGTACGATTATTTCGACAAAGCTGGAATGGTGCCTTTGCACCTACAAATTTCATTTCAAGAGAACCTTACAGCAGGTTCCGATTCTTAGTAGGGAACAGATGGTGTACTAGAAGGAGATATTGATTTTGGATGCATGTATACTATTGCCTACTAATTTTCAAATGAGACGCCTGAAAATATCGTGGTAGCAATGCCGCAATATCGGCACGGTAAACGATCAAATCCTCTCTAACCTACTAAAGGATCTAGTGGTGCCATCTGCCGTTGAACATACTAATCCTGCTCACTTGATAAGACAAGTATTAAGAACTAGTGCGAGTGCCAAAAACTACTCGAAAATTATAAAATTCTAAAAAACAACGGAAATAGATTTCCTAATTCGTTATGTTATCCGATATTCTCCGTTATTAAAACCTCTGTAGATCATGCTCGCAATCATGTATAAATTTCTAACTATACATATAGTTGGAAATACAATGTACATACATTATATTTTCATATAACTACTATCGTAATTTTTCAGATAGTACATTTCAATCACTGAGTTGTACGACGCGTTATATATTTTTCTAGTTAGTACATAAGATATGAAAAATAAATCCATTGAGTCAAACCTGAGTTGTTAAATTGAAAAACTCCGCGACTGAACTAACTACAATTAGAACGCTTTCAGAGCCTTGCAAACTAATCGTACATGTCAGGAAACTCGGAAAATAAGACTCGTGATTCTTAAAAATTGTTCGATATCAAAGTTTTAGCCGGTTAAAAATTGGAGTTTTCAGTGATACGATTCGTACGATTAACCTAAGAAGGCTTCCTTAAGCTATATTGCAAAGGAGTTGTAAAATTGTATAGAACGTAATATTTTGAAAGTAGTTTGAAAACGTAGTTGTAACAAAAACTTTAATCTTTAGATAAACTTATTGATCTAGTAATTATTTTTATTTAAGACTTTTTGCAGCAGCACATACTATTCAACTGTACATAACATATACGATTCAAAATTCTATATTTAAAAAGTTCAAAATAAAAACTCATTTTCACACAGTTCTATTAAAAAACTCAGAAATATTGAATTATGATTCTAAAATTCGAAAAACTGAATTATTATTAAAAAAAGAACAATGTATTTTGAAATTTCCAACTTCAATCAATCAATTATTATTTGGCTCTTAAGAAATAGTATACGATGACTCACACGGCTGTTGTACTTCACACAACAAATTTTTGAAGACGGTAGAACTCACTCCTTATCATCTGAATGTGACTCTAGGACCGAGAATCAATAATAAACAAAAATTTAAGAATTACAAAACAGTGCTCTCATTTTCACTTAATTTCTAAAACATTTTTGAAGCATTCGATATACATTCATAAGTCGACACTAAAGATGGATTCACAAGATTTGCGCAGCTGCTCTATTGCAAGCATACACCATGGCCATTTGCTTGTGTCTCCACCTGGCGAGTAGAAATGCAATTGAACTTCCCTTTCCCGATCACGAGAGGATACCGTGTGTTTGATATAATTCTGGTTTGTGAGGTGGATGACGTCACGCAGATGGAGGTCTAGAGGGGATTCGCTATCGATGATGCCGCTAACTGGTGGTACTGATGACGGCGGTGTTGGTAGTGACTCCGGAACGATATAATCAGTGTTGGCGATAGTGTGGTGGTGTTGGTGAAGCGGGCATCAAGTGCCTGATCTAGGAAAAGTTGAGATCGGAGTAACATCTTGTGGGGGGTTTTTATCATCGTCGAGTACCTGGAAAAGTCAGATGCTCCCTGACCAAGGCAGGTGTGTCGGTTTGGATTTTCACGCGTTCCTCCATTATAACATCTCCAGTTAAACTCCCGCGTATAATATTCGTTAATTCAGCTAGAAAAATCCGTTTACCCCGCATCGTGTGAACATACGGATAAGTTACTGTATCTCAACATCTTTATCAAGCAGAGATTAAATTTTCGTGTCGTGTAACTGGGCCTCTCTACTCCATGTCATACAAACACACACGAGAAATTCTACTCCAGTTCTCGCGCGAATAAACGACCGGCTGACGTGAGAAAGGTGATACATAATAAAAAAAATGCCGCTTTAATAGGGCTTATAAGCCGGTAACGCGGTGGTGAAGCGTGGTGCTGTGTCGCGCTGGTGATAGTACCAGCGTTATTACTTATTGTGTATAGTGGGTGGTAAACTACTGAAATACATCGTGATAGTAACGTTAAGATGGCTTCCGGCGCTGGTAATGTGCCCCAATGGAAAAGGGATCTCATACAGCGTAGACGACAGCAGAGTAAAGTACTCGCTAGCAATGGAGCTAGCTCGAAGTTATGTTCGGCTGTTATTGGAGCCGGCAATAGTAGTAATAGTAGTAATGGTAGTCATCCTCAAGATAACAACAACGAATTCTCATCAGGTCCAGTTGCACTACTCCTCGGACAGGACACCTCCAATACCAATACATTATCCTCGTTCTCGGCGCCCTCCTCCACCCCATTTTCTGTACAAGCAGCCGACGAGGATTGCTGTCCAGCCGGTATTCATGGTTCCAATTCCAGAGTTGCCGTAGCTGGCGCCACTGCTCCCGTCAACGGCTCCGACCACGGAGACACTCCAGTCGCGATCAACATGCGCCTCGAGGCGGATCTTATATGCTCCGACTCGGAGGACGCTCCTCGTGTAAACAGAAACGAGAACGACGACTACGAACAGGCGCACCTGAAGTACGTATCGAAGGTACATCACGATAACGATAATAGCAGTGTTGTGGAAATAAAAGTGAGGAATAAAGAGTTTAAAGCAGACTCTACGAGGAACAGTATGGATAATAACCTTCTTAGGAACAGAATACCTAGTGAGGATGGCGAAAGTGATAGCTCTGAAGAACTTCAGTATGGACCTGGTATTGTGAATAAGCTCAAGAGCAAGTACCTCAATCTTACTCTGAGGGAGACGAGTAAGTCTAGGAGTTATGTACAGCGGTTTAGAAGAGCTGCTAGTCTCGAGGATCTTCTGGATTGCGATGACGAACCTAGTGACAAGTCCTGGAGGGATAGCAACGAGAGGCAGTTCACTAAGAGGACTGCTGTTGTCAAATCGGACCGATACAGAAACGCTTCAAGAGGTAATGACTCCATGAAGAGAGCCAGAAGTGTGGAGACGTTGTTACGCTACAATTCCACCTCGGATGATGTCACTTCGCATAGCGTACCAAGCAGGTTCGTCGCCAATGCTCTCAGACAAGAACCTAACGATCACATAATACTCGTCGACAGGTCATCCGTGAAAATTGAGAGCAGATTGGGTGAGACTGACAGACCCAAGGCTATTAACAAACCGAAAAGGATCAAGCCCGTTTTAGCGGAGACCGAGAGACCACCACCAGACCTAGTAAAGACCACCATGAGGATATTCGAAGGTTCTGTAAAGAAGCATAAACCTAAAGGTGAGGTAGCAGTCAAGGTTGCAACTTTTAAAACCATTAATGACACTTTCAAGGCTCAGAATCAAAAGAAAATCATTCCCAAGCCGCCATTACAACCGAAGCCTTTTGTAAACGGTAATACCAAGACGCCGGGATCACCAAAGAAGACGTTGATTGTTCAGCAGAAACCTACCGCAGAGATAATTGAAGAACTTATCGACGGTCAAGAACATCACAATGACGGTGTCATCACTGATCCTATCGTTCAATCTGTATCGTCAGTCGTCAGCAAATTTCAGCAAATCGAGAAATCGCACTCGCCATCACCATCACCAGAGCCAGCAAGTAAGCTCAAGTTCTCCCCTGTTCCGAGTCCTGAACCAACTATACCCAAGCTCAAGTGTTCATCAGATACAAAGAAGACAGTTCAACCACTTTTGGTGAAATCACCGCCAACGTCACCAAGGATCTCACCGCCCCGCGTGACATCTCCTGCCTCTCCAAAACGAGAAACCTTTAGACAACATTCCACGCCGATGCAGAAACCACCGAGTCCGAGTCGTGAACTCTTTCGGCAATCCTCGGTACCGGATACGAAGTGCACGAAGACAGATGGCATGAACACGAAGACATATGTAGAAAATATATCTCAAATGATACCTGAGCGAATAAAGAGTCCTGATATAGAGAAAAAGGATACCATTAAATTGGAAGAAGTCGAAGAGGACCAGGAAGACGTCGATGGTACCAAAACCATCTCCAAGTCTGCATTAGATAACATTAGCAAAGCCGGTACTACATTACAATTCAAGTTCAACGATAAGTCAACGATCAACAAAAATTACCTTCCAGGATCCAATCAAAATTGTTCCAAACTTCGTGATAGAATACCGATCTCGAAGAGTGCTGAAGTGAAGACAAAATTCTTGTTAGGTACTTCCGTTGACTTTTCTGTACCAGAAGAGAGTCCTGAACTGTCAGCCAGACTTCAAGAGCATTCTGAATCTGAAAATATTGAAAAAAAGGACGACGATATTCTGGAAGTTAAGCTAATCGGTGCGATTTCCAGTCTAGCCCTTTCCAAGAACACCTCAAATACGTCGCATTCCCAGATCAATGAATGCAAGAACCTGAGGTGTCAAAAGGTGGACACGATCTCATCGACTTCGTCGCCCCCCCAAAAACAAATCGGCATCATTCGACCTTTGGTTTCGACAAAGACTCATCTATCGCAGCAAAATTTGAGCAATCGAGAATTGGAAAAAAATTTAATTAATCGTGTCAAGAGTATAGAACAGCAACAGCAACAACAACCCACAAAGGTCGTGGTCAGTCTAAAAAGTGCAGAGGAGATACAACCCGTGAAAAAAACGACAAGTTCCGGTGCTAGTGCTGGTGGCGGTGGTGGCTTATGGGATGCAAAACCATGGAATCAACAAAACAACACCATGGTTTTCAATTTTAGTAACCGCAAGGATGTTCCCGATTACATTGAAAATGATGGTCTTATAATCAGACGGAAACGGGAAAAACCTAAGGTAATATTTTTCATATGTCTATTATTATCTATATCGGTGTATGGACATATTAAGTATATACAATACATATGCAGCTCTAATATATATATATATATATAATAGGTACAGTCAATACACTAAGTACATAGAAACGTCTAAAAAGATGTGAGAAGAAATTTTATGCGTGAGACTGTAATTTAACTTCTTTCACTTTCCTCCGTGTGGCGAATGTAATATGTAATGTGTAATATGTACAAGCATACGGCAGATAGTAGATAGGAATACGCATGTATGCTGGTGAGTAAAGAAAAGGAAATTACGCCGCTCGCGGAATTTAAAAACAGTGTTCAAAATTCCGAACACGAACAAACAGCGACGCTTCGGGTATGATTTTCAATTTGGTCAACCGCCTATCGCTACTCGCGTTACTCTCTCTTTCTTTATCTCTTAATCTCCCTTTGAACATGAGTCTTAAGCTTCAGAAAAGCCAAAAAAATTCTGTCAATTCGTTTTCAAAATTTCACATTAATTATGGTCGTGCCTTTCGCTTCTTCCTCAACGGACTTAATTTTAGCAATTTTTCTATTCGTCTGTTTATACATGTATACGTGTGTATTAGCACATGAAGTTTTCTTTGACGTCTCTCTTGGTACAATAAGATTAGAATCTTTCGAACTGTGACGCTTTTTCTCTTCAATTGGCTAACCAGTCGTAATCCGCAACCTTCGCGCAGCATTAGGCGACTGAGAGTAAATGCAAACTTGTTGATGTGATTTTTTATATAATTATAATACTCTACCGCATGCATTAAAGTTATCTGTACATCCACACAGTGGGGCAACGCCCAACAAAAGACGCCGTTAACAAACCGGAAACTAGAACACACATCGGGAACACGTAAACCTCTTCTGCCTGACTTACGGCCTGTACTGTGTTACATAGAAATGATACTTTTCCAGAATAGTGCAAAATAGAACTTGCAATATAATATACAAGTACAAAAATAAGTCTCTTAATATTCATAAAATCAGTGCATCGTGTACTGATCGATATATGCATGAAATGTGCTGTGCACGTACGAGCCCATATGTTTAGCAGTCCTCCACCCTCCTGTACAGGAGGGAACTATCCGTAATTAGGAAGCCAGAAAGGAGGTGCTTTTATTAAAGTAGGTACCAGAAGGAGAAAGGGAGTGAATGACGTGTGCAAGTCAGCTGACTTCCGGTTCTTTTTTTTTTTTTTTAAATTATTTTTTTTTTTTTTTAAATTATTTTTTTTTTTTTTTAAATTATTTTTTTTTTTTTTTAAATTATTTTTTTTTTTTTTTAAATTATTTTTTTTTTTTTTTAAATTATTTTTTTTTTTTTTTAAATTATCTTCTTCAGTTTCTCTTTCCTTCTTCTCGCTATTTCATATTCCTTCTCGATCCTCCTCGTCACTGGACGTTCTCTTGCCGGATGCAGCTTTGTACGTCCTGTTTCGTGACGATATGGCCACCATATCCTCCTTTGCTCCATTTCCTTCCACGAGGAGTATAACATAACATACGGTATTGTCTGGAGGCAAGTAAATTGAACTGTTATTACGGTTTTCAAGGCATAACTATCCCTTTGAAGAAATTTTTCATACCATGCTACACAAGGATGCTTCTGGATGTACTGTACGTGCAGTTTATTTAAAAAATACCTGAGTCCAAAGTACGAAAAAATGCTGCAACTAGCAACCGCATTCCTGGCTACAGTTCCTACGTGGAATTCTTCATCGATACGTTTATGGTGCTATCATGGTGTCCACTGGATACCAGAGATCCGTTAATACCTTTTTCGAACAGCGAATTGCTATCTCCTACTTAGTACCGAGTATCCCAGTATACCAAAATATATGAATTTTGTGATATAGAATCCATCTGGTAGCATACCGTTTATTGAATTCTCTATTTACACAAAGTTAAGCGTTTATTGAAATTTATCGTGAATTGCTAAAAATATATTTTTTCTTTACTCGTTTCTAGTACACGAATAGATCTCATTAGGGATCCACTTGCTTTGAATGGTTTACAATTTACACCAGAGAACAATACAACTGTATCCGGTAACCAAAATACTCTGCTTCTCCTTGAAATTCCAATACCCATTCATATGGGACGCATTTGTCAGTGAGTCGCTATGATCCTGTTGTATATTCATATGTTATTCTACATATGAAGTCTGCTCGAAATATGAGTTGCAATCCCGAACCAAGTGATACACGTTTTCACAGTGGTATAAGTGTTGTGTGTGCATAACAACGCGTGTACGTAAGAGCACTTGGCACTGCGTGTACGTATGTAAATATATATGCATTTCTGTATATATATATGTATACGATTACACGTATGTGACGTCTAATGAAAAATACTCGCATGGGAATTTCTCATGGAAGTCACGGACCTCGTCGAGTCAAGTTCATTGCCATCGGTATCGTATTTGCATTATCTCTACGATGACGGTTTTTGCTGCTTGTTTAGAGGGCCTGACAAATATTTTGTTAACTTCATTTTTACCCTTTTTTTAAAAAAAAACGATTTCGTGTCGCCTTAAAGCCTTTTCTTATTTTCATTAAATTGATATACACGTGGTAGACACGGTTATATATATTCAGAGCCATGAATAGGCAAACAGCAAATAAAACGTTAAATTGCAAAGGAATAAACGAAAAATAGATACCTACCTCCGTTTGAATATTTGACCTCATTTTAACATGAATTCCAAGGCTAATGAGTTTCCCGTGAATTCATCCGCCATTCCACTTGAGAGTCAATTGTTATGCTTGATTGGATGTGACCGTTTAGCGACGGACAGACACAAGGACAGGCGAAAGGACCGGGGC